GGGATTAGCGTTACAGATAGTTGTTATCTGCCATGTGGGTGCAGGGAACGTAACCATGTCCTCTGAAAGAGCAGCCAGGGCTCTTAACTGCTGAGACACATTTTTAAATGTGTTTTCTTTGGGGCTGGCAAGATTGCTCAATGGTAGGGGCACATGCCTTGAAAAGTGCCCAGCTGAGCTTCATCCCCACAATCCACATGATGAGAGGTGAGAATAAACTCCAGCAAGTGGTCCTCCACCCTCCACATGTGTGTTGTGCCATGTGCACACATGGACACAGAACAATATGCACCTTCCATTCACACAAAAATAATGTAAAAATCACCTTTATTGAAGTGTAATTACTCTAAGACATAATTTACATGTAGCAAAATATACATTTTTAAAGTCTAGACAAATGCATATGCCCATATAATAATTGTTTATGGTGTAGAACACTTTCGTTACCCTGAATCCCTCCTGTAGCTTTGTCTTCTGCAGACTCAGAAAGGCCCGGTTTTTTGTTGTTGTTGTTGTTGTTGTTGTTGTTCATTTTTTTGTTTGTTTGTTTGTTTTTTACTGCCATCTTTATTATCTGCCAGTTCTAAAACTTGATACCTGCAATAATAACATAATATTTTCTGGCTTACTTCTGCTCAGCATGTTTCTGAAATTCATCCAAAAAAGATGCTACCAAAACTTGTTACCATTGAACAGGTCATAATCTCCAGAGTATGTACTTGCTTTAGGAGCTGGTATTTAAAGTGACCTCTCAGATGGACGCAAAATGCTGCTGAAATGTTTGAATCATGCATCGTGGTCATCAGGAAAACTGAACTCAAATATAAACACTGTGACCATGACTTCTTATTAAGGGATTTGGAACCAGACCATCTCTTCAAGAAACAACTGTTTTGAACTTCATTTTCAGATTCAGCTAGAGGTAATATTTAAGGAATGTATATATTTTTTATCCTGAAAAATTACTCCAATGAATAGTTTATTAAATTTAGTGAAATCATCTATGTTTAGACATAAATTTATTATTTTAAAACTTCTAAATTTATGAACTGATGGTAAACATTAAAACCTCTCTCTCTCAAAAAGACCAAAAGAAATTATGACACAATTCTAATGTCCAAATTACAAATTAATATTATAGAGAACATTTTATTTGTAAGTTGTGTATATCTATCATGTAGTGCCTAATTTCAAATTTATAATATGTGAAATGGATAAATCTACCAAAATAATAAATACCTTAGTTTTATAAATATCATTTGTTAGTGAGAGCATTTAAGTCACTCGTGTTTTTCAAGCACCAAGCTGTCTTCAGCAGTGATGGACTTAGTCCTCCGCACTCCTGCAGGGAAGTGATGAGACAGCTCTGGTCTGGAGAGCAAAAGCTCAACCTGGACCTTTTCCACACCGGACTCTGAAGTGCTGGAGAAGCAGGACGGTAAGAGTACACTCACCAGATCACAGTGAGCCTTAAAAAGCCAGAGGGAAGTTGTGTGTGATGGCTGGTAAAGCAGCTGTGAAAGTAGAGGAAAAGAATGTACATGTCTATGGGCTAAATCTTCTGACTTCTCTTAGAGTTCTGAGAGTAAATATTAAACAGCTCTGCAGAGAAAAAAAATCTTTTTTATCAATACTGTTAAGGAAAGATTGCATTTATTCCATATAAAACTAGGACATGCAACTATTTCTTGATTCATAATTCTTGACATTTTAATCTAGAATAAATGCAAGAGTAAAATGTATCCTGAAAATGAAAAATAATAATTTGTCCTTAAATATTTTGTAGCTAGAAAGATTCAGCTATCTAACCCATTTTTCAAAGTGTACAAAAAGAATTATCTGAAGAGTTCTTATGTCAACTTTTTACAGGCAGATGAAGTATTTGTAAAATTTAACAAATCTTTGGGGGCCGTAGTTATAACTAAAATTATTAAGTAATTAACAACATAAGAATTATGTAAAAACAATTTATTTCTTTTTTTGATTTTTCAATTTTATTAGAAGCCCTATTATATTCAGAAGTTCAGTTCAACTGAAAATTCTCTATACTTATCAAATATAAAAAATAATTATTTTGTCATTCTGTCTGCTCAGATATTTTCAAATTATTTTGTTAAGAATACTGAAAGTACTAGGGAGTCATCTATACTCCTGATACTCAGAAGATGAAAGAAAGAGGGTCCTGGATTCAGAGTCAGCCTGGGATACATAGGAAGATCCTAACTTTAAAAGATGATATTCAAATTTGTCCGTTTTTAACCAGAGTTTATTTTTTATTATTATCTGGGAATTTAATACTTGTTTGCAATGTAATTTGATCATACTCATTCCCTGCTCCTCCCTCTGACTCTTCCCAGACGTCCTAAACTGCATTCTCCTCCGAACTCCATATTCTCAATTGTTATGACCCACAGTGAAAACGTAAACTGTGTGAATTTATTGAGTCCACCATGGTTTCTTAAAAATGTTAAAGTATGACAGCTTGAGTTTTGGCATGCAGCAAAGCTGGAGAGGCTGAGTCATCTAAGCCGTTTAAAGGTAAAGTCCCAGAAATCGGACATGGAGTTACTGGGTTTGCTTCTTACCCTGTTGGATTTCAGTCTTGTTCTGGTCTGGTATTGCCTCAGTATGGCTCATTCCTCCCTTTTGGAATGGTTCCATTACATGTTGGAAGTATGGAATTTGTCTTTTGATTTTACAGAGCTCACATTAAGAGATTGCTTTGAGTCTCACAAGAGACTTTGAACTCTGGGCTTTTGAATATTGAGACTGGTAAATACAATGGGACTTCTGAAGATGGACTAAATGCATTTTATATGATCATGAGCCTAAAAATAGGTTGTAGCTATCATCAGAGTGTCATAATTATCTTTTGCTTTAACCTGAATTAATGTATATGTGAATGAATGAGAGACGGTGAAAGAGAGAAAGAATGCTCACATAATGTAACATCATTCAATCCCATCTTTGCAGTATTCTGTTTCCCTGTCACTGCCTCACATAACCCACTGCTCTGTCATTGTCCAGTGGAAATTCTCATTTTGGGGGGACTAGAAGTTTTTCAGGCTCATATAATGTAAGTAAAGGTTAGTGTGAACTATTAAATGTTGTACTACTGCCACCTAACAAAATGTGAATACTGGGGTGGAAAACAGGAAAGAGAAAACAAAATATTCAGGGTGTGTGTGTGTGTGTGTGTGTGTGTGTGTGTGTGTGTGTGTGAAGTCCATTATTGCTTCACCTGCTCAACTTCATTCTCTCTCCCTCCTTCTCTCTCTCTCTCTCTCTCTATCCCCCTCTCCCCTCTCTTGCTCTCTCATCTCTATCTCTCCATATATATAAATGCACTTCTGTGTGGATCAATCAAGGAATGATACTTACTTTATACCATACAGTGGTGTGGGCAAATAGAAACTTTCCACTTGTGCCTACTATCCAAAATATTTTGTCTTTCAAAATGATGTTATCTAGACTACTTATGTCAAAGGACTTGGAGAAATCATGCTGGGGCCTGAAAACCTCATCCTTATTGTTTAATTTCTTAGGGCCTGAAGATTCTACTGAGGGAGAACTTGTGAGCTACAGTAACAACTAGCCTGGAAAGATATTATCACTGGTGCAATGATCACACAAATGTCATGGGAATAACCAGCAATTTCCTGATTTGATATAAGACCTGCTCCACAAGAAGGAACTGATCTCTTGCACTGTTTATTGGTTCAAAAGCCCATTAACTGGCTAGGCCTTAAGTCCTTATCTTAGATTATTATATGCCCCCAAATAAGATTATTAAACTACCTAGAATATAAGTAATATCACTCTGGTACTTTTAATTACCATGTAACATGTAAAACTTGAACAAAAGTTCTTAAGCCAGTCTATAAAGACTAATTTATTTAACAAGAACTAATTAATTCATTTGACAAGAACTAATTTAAATACATGTATGACTGAACTTTCAGCTTAGATATTTAAGACAGATGTTTTATTACTAACAAAATTTAAAAAAATAGATTAAAATGAACATGGGTTCTCATAGGCTTATATTTGGATCGCCTGCCACCAGATCATCCCACCCCACCCTGTCATGCAGGCTGTGCCCTGCAAAGCCCCTGAGATAGAGAGGGCATCCGCACTTGCTACCTCACCTCCTGGAGTTTTCCTGACTCGCTGGTCCACAGTTTGCTGCTCCAAAAATGGCGCTGACTCCACCTCTTTTTCCCAGTGTGCTCTGTGTCCCCAACGCTGGCCCTGCATCAGTTCCAGCTTTTTAAGGACCTCACAGGCTGTAGCAATAGCCTGAATAATTTTGGGAGTGTCTTGGACCACCCTGGCCAACAACTCAAAGGAAGGTATCTCCTGTTTGTCAGTGTTTCTTGTTATGTAGTCTTTAACTACACATGTGGACTCATGAAGAGATAATGTATGTATAATTTGTCAGTAGGTTGTTGGACTAATATGATTTTCTCTGGTTTTTTAAAAGTTGCTAGGCATTATTTATCTCTCTCACAGTCTAACCCTTCCACCATGTTTCCCCATTTTATTTTTATGCATATCTGTGCATGCCAACATGAGTTTATGTGTATCATCTACATACAGTGCCCACGTAGGGCAGAAGAGGGCATTGGATCCCCTAGCATTGGAATTCTAAGGAGTTGTGGACATCATGTGAATTCTAGGAACTGAACACAGTCCTACCAAGAACACTAAGTGCTGATAAGGGCTCAGACATCTCTTTAAACCTCATTATTTTCAACTTTTAACATAAATTCTCCTTATTTGCATAATTCATCCCATGGTAGCTGATGTAGACTATTTGTACTCCTCAATGATTTCTTCTTTTTATTCGATTCTCCTCTTTCCTCTTTCTTCCTCCCTTTTCTCACTCTTCCCTTTTTCTCCTCTACCTTTCTCCATTTCCTTCCCTCCCCTCCCGTCCCCTTCCCTTCCCTTCCCTTCCTTTCCTTTCCTCTCTATAGGATCCAGACAATAAAGAACTTATGGACCAGAACAACCACAGCTCTTCAAATGTTTTTATTCTGCTTGGCTTCTCAGATCATCCAAAATTGGAGATGATCCTCTCCGTTGTTGTCTCCATCTTCTATGTTATTACATTGGTGGGTAACACAGCTATCATTCTCTCATCCCTCATGGATTCCCAGCTCCACACACCGATGTACTTCTTCCTCAGAAATTTATCTTTCCTGGACCTGTGTTTCACTACAAGCATCATCCCCCAGATGCTGGTTAACTTGTGGGGACCTGAGAAGACTATCAGCTCTGTCGGTTGTGTTATTCAGCTTTATGTGTATATGTGGTTTGGCTCCATTGAGTGTCTTCTCTTGGCTGTCATGTCCTATGATCGTTTCACAGCTATTTGTAAGCCCTTGCATTATTCTGTAATCATGAACCCACATCTGTGTCTCAAGATGATTTTCATGGTCTGGAGTATTAGTTTGGCCAACTCTGTGTTACTGTGCACACTCACAGTGACTTTGCCTAGGTGTGGAAACAACCTTCTGGACCACTTCTTGTGTGAGTTGCCAGCGATGATCAAGATAGCTTGTGTAGACACCACCACAGTTGAAATGTCTGTTTTTGCTCTAGGCATTGTCATCGTCCTTACACCCCTCATCCTTATTCTTACTTCCTATGGCTACATCGCCAAAGCTGTGCTGAGAATGAAGTCCAGGGCAGGGCGTCATAAAGCAGTGAATACCTGTGGATCTCATCTCACAGTGGTGACCATGTATTATGGAGCTATTATCTACCTGTACTTGCAACCAGGCAACAGTGCCTCCAAGGAACAAGGAAAGTTTTTCACCCTCTTTTACACCATCATCACTCCCAGCCTCAACCCCCCCATTTATACATTAAGAAATAAGGATATGAAGAATGCACTGAAGAAACTGATTGGGATTAATGTCAAATCTACAAAAATAAGGAAATTTTTGAAGTGATATTAACATATCAGAGCAAATAAAGCAATGGATGCATTTTTTATGTATATATAAAGATATGCATCTCGTCAGACATGGTAGCACATGCCTTTAATCCCAGCACTTGGTAGGCAGAGGCAGAAAAAAGACAAAAATACATAAATAAAGACATGTATCTTTAGTTTTATTGAGAGAAGTTGTCCTAAAATCATAAAGATGAATTTTAAAAAATTTCTTTATAAACAAGCCACATTATAATCATCCTTAGCATTTCACTTTTATTAGTTTGTTATTTTATTTTTAATTTTCGTGAGATGTGATTTTCCTGTAGGCCCAGTTCACCTAAGATTTGCTATGTAGACCAAGCTGATCTCAATCTCATAAATACACCTGCCTCTGCCTCTTGAGTACTATGATTAGAGGCACGTGTCAACACTCCTGGCACTTACTTTTATTTTTAATTACATGTGTATGACTGTATCTGTAAATGGGTATGTGCGCGTGAGTTCAGGTACTCACAGAGGTCAGCAGAGGGTGTTGGATCCCCTGGAACTACAGACGTTGTGAGCCATGTGACATGGGTTCAAAGAACCAAATCCAGGTCCTCTAGAAAAGCAGTGGGAGCTCAATCACTGAGCTGTTGCTGTAGCACCTTCTTCACTTTTAGGCTACAAACCAATGTCATATTCTGGGAGAAGTAGGTCATTAGTCATTTTCAATTGAGCTTGAAATATGGAAAATGGAATCATATATTTGTATGCATTTTCTTTATTATGAAGACCCAACGAAATGTTATGTTTCCCATAATTATTATATCATGATTATATCTGGATTTTCAAAGTTAGTAAATGATTTAATATAACTACCATTGGTTATCAGTCTTACCAAGATTAAGAACGTAACTCCAAAATATAAGCGTAATCATTCAGAGAGATAGACTGTGCATACCGCTGCTGGAAATTTGGGTTATATAGTTTCCAATTTATATGCAATAAATCAGATATATGTATTCTA